ACAAATCGATTGTTATTCATCAGGGAGGTCGGTGTTGGTTTTTGTATGTGGTGGGTGGGTGGGGGACTCCTCAAGTAATCTGGAAAGGGGGAGTGGGGGACTCAAATCAAATAACTTAGATGGGGGGGGGGGGGGCACACTTCAAATATCCTGGGAAAGGGGGGGTTTGGGGGGGGGGCGCCTCAAATAACCTGAAATACTGGGGGGGGGGGGGGGCAACCATTAAATATCTTGGCGTAACGAACAACGCGGACCACAGACCCTCTCATCGCCAAGTCATAGGGCAGATAGTAGATTGTTTCTCCCGGAGTCACGCTACTGAACAAAGGTTGGCGGGTGCTCTGGTGTGGTTTGCTCCTTCTTTCCTATTAACATCTATCGTCCTTATCTCTACTTTTCTTTTTTTGTGTAGGTTACTCTCTTGTAACACATATCTATTCTTCGGCACGTATATTACCTTATTGTGTTGCAAGTGCCGTTAAACTAAACTAAACAACAGTGGTCACGTTACGGAAAGACTGGTTTGGAACGTTTTACGTCACATCACAGATATCGATGAGTATATGTGAGGCGTGCTGACAAAATGAGTTACTTCTCACAATCCATAAATGGAGATATTTGCCAAAAATCGACACTAGGGTCAAATTTGAAGATTTTCTATTGATGCCATATACTTTGACTACAACAACGTTTTACGTCACATCACAGATACCGATGAGTATATGCCTTCGGCGAGTGATTCTATTGCAAAGCATGGATGTTGTACTCACATAATGGTCTATGGCAAGACAAAGACACATAACTGACGTCTGTAGTGTAATGATTTAGCTTTGCTGGTGCACGCAGGAGACCCGAGTTCGACTCCCGAGCGGAGGAAATTTTTTTATCGAGTATTTCGGTGTGGTTGGTTGGCGTGTGTTCTAGTTATGGTTTGCTTCCTCTTTCCTTTCAAACATCTATCGTCCTTATCTCCCCTTCTTCTTTTTTTAAATGTTTGTTACTCTCTTGTAACACCTCTAATCTTCTGGCGCTCATGTGACCCTATACAGTAGTGAGCGCCGTAAAACCTCTACTAAAAAACCCCCAAGAGTATTTCGTGGTTTTTTTCTGCGATATGTCTCTCAGCTCGGGTTGGCCCTGACAGGCAGAGTCAGAAGCCTGCCTCTCATAATATGATCTAAATTGTGTCTGAGAGGGCGTAAAAACACCTACGCCAAGACACATAGAAGGAAAGTAGTCATGATAGAAGTTACTGGTCGGGTGTAACCTCTATATCCCGGCGGGCGACTAGATAAGGAACTCGAGATTTGTTACGATTGCTCTGTTTAGAATAGTCGAGTGTAACCAGGGATTTCTCGATCACGCTAGAGTTATGCAGGATTTTTTTTTCGCGGATCGAATTTCAAGATTCATGTTCAGTTAATATTATTGGTGTTTGTGGCATAATGGTTCGGCTCTTGTCCTTTCATACGAAAGACCTGAGTTCGATTCCCGCTTGTGGGCAATTTTTTAAAGGGTATCTTCGTCTCATCCTTTTTATTTCTTAGATGAGTCAGCCCAGATTAAGTCCGATCGCCAAAGTCAAAATAACCTGCCTCCTTAAATGATCTACAGGTGGTTGGAGTGTGCCGCTGGTGGGTCTGTCGTACTTCTTTACTTTCCCTCTGTTGTTTCTGTCTGTCTCACTTTTTCCCTAACACTAAATGAGCATAACTGTGTCGTTGTGCTTCTCTTTCATCAGACTTTAATTATATGAATGCTGCCAATATTCAAATGATTCACGAAATGAGGAAAATGAACTACATTATGTTATGTTCTTACTTGTGAATATTTTGGTTGAAGATGGGCTCGTGTGACTTTAGCCAGACCAATGAGTCGAACGTATATATGCGAGACTGGGTCAAGATGACGCAGGAGATATGGGTACCTCGTCAGTGAAAGTTCATAATGAACGGGAGAGGAGTCCTACTAGTTCTGCTTTTCAGTCTCTCAGTGATGAATGACTGAAAAGGGAATTTGGAGAAATTGGGACTAATATCTGAACCTGTTAAGAAATTTGACCTAAAGTGGCTGATTTCTCCCTTTGTCAGAGAATTCGACTAGCTGTGGCTCGTTTGACATTAATTTCCGGTTGAGAATTCCACCAATTGTGGACTAATTGTTAAAGCTGATTTCTCAGATTATTTGAAAATTTGACAACCTGAGACTGATTTAGATTTGATTAATATGACGTGGACATGCATTGTTCAACCCTTGCCAAGGAACAGATCCCAACGTTTGGAATTCCTTTGAAGAAAGGATAGGGAAAAAAAGAAACACAACTTTGGATAACTATGGAAACTCATATTTTATTTATGATTATGGAGAATGAACCTTCTGCAATTATGTCCTACCCGTGTGTGTCCGGTATCAGTCATCATGTAGCGAGGACAGTGTCTTAGCGTAGGTGGACGACCCCGCCACCATCTCCCCATGCATGTAGCGGTTGTGAATGTCTTTGTGAATGTCTCCCGGGGCCTATAGAGGCGCGCCCCAGACTGCAGGATGACTGGTCTGTATGAGTACCAGCGGCTACTCACAGGTCTCACCGGCCGAGCCTTTCTCAGGTTGGTTGTTGATTTTGGCGGGATTTTTCACGTGTTTGGCACTGGGTGGGGGCGGGGCTTCTTTGTAGGGTGGGTTACGCCAGTATCTCAAATGGTATCATGGAAGACAGAGAATTGAGGAACAGTGATTTTGCTAACCAAATACCTCGTCTTGCTTAACGAATGGTATTGATCATGGTATCGATAGTGAACCGAGTCGATAGTGCCGTAAATCACATACTCTATCAATTAATCAAGGCATCGATAGTGATTTATGTTTGTTGGTCTTTTATTTGCAGCTTACATATTAAGTTAAAATGATGAATGGAAATAGACTCTCAATAGACGTGGGACTGCGCTGGTTGCATTTTAAAATACCGTCTTCAAAATTCTTATGTCAGCTCCTTATGAGTGTAAGCAGTGAACAGGTTCTGTATTTCTTACTCATTTTTCTGGATACATCGACGAGGTCTCCTTGATATTTTTGCTGCTGCTCTCTTGTTTAGATCGGTCTTTTTTTATCTAGGGGCTCAGGGGGAGGAGGCATATAAATACAAAAGGTTGTTTTTTGTGTTTAGAAATCTTATTTTTGGGATTAGCCGAAAAAAAAATTTTATAAAATCTAAACCGCACGGTGATTTGATAGAGTTCTAGTTGTCGAAAAGTCGAGATGAAGTACAACCAATGATAGTACATAACTATTTACTATCTTTGGTACAACTTACCTCGCATAACTAATATACAGTTACATCAGACGATGACGCCAAAGTCGCTTTTCCGGTGTGCAGCCATAATGAAAGACTATAGTGTGGTTGACTTTGATTCGAGTTCCCGGCGCTGTGTGTTTTGGAACTATTTTGAGAGATTTCATGGCTTCATACCTCCTCTCCCTTTCCACTCCACGGGTGAATGGTGGGTGCTCTTATGTCGTGTATTCTTTACCTTCTCCTTCGTTTCAAAGCTATTACATATGTGGACGGGTGGTTGGAGGGCGCCACTGGTAGGTCCTACTTCTTTACTTTCCCTCCGTTATTTCCGTCTTTCTGTCTGTCTAACTTTCCCCAGCACTAAATGACAATTACTGTGTCGATGGCCAATGTGCCTATCTTTCCTCAAACGAACCAATACATGTGCGGGTGGTTGGTGGGGTACCTTGGTGTGGTTTGCTCTTTCTTTCCTATCAAACATCCATCGTCCTTATCTCTCCTCTTTCTTTTGTGTTTGTTACTCTATTGTAACCCCTCTAATCTTCAGCACTTATGTTTTGCAATTACTGTAAAACTCATATTGAAACAAACCGCCTCTCTCTCTCCTCTCCACGGGTGAATAGTGAGTGCTTTTGTGTATTCTTCACACTCTCCTTCCCTTTAAAGCTATTATGATAACGTTATTTCTTTATTTTTAAAAAATAAGGACACATTCCAATGACCATCCATCTAAACACTGTGTCACAGACACTTACTTTACATTCTTTCAAGTCTGAAATCACTAACTCTTGTGAAAAGAGGGCGTTAACCTGCTGCCTTGCCCTAAATTGCATCTTGACATCAGAGGTCTCTC